GTTATCAGTAGCTATCTGACACACAATGAGTGTTTCCAAACATTCAAGTGGTTTGTCTCCGCCCCTGTTTGTTTCACAGATTAGTCATTTGCATATGAATGTGTCAGACACAAGGTCACACAGCCCACAGTCCCGTGATAGAGGCCCGGACTGTGCACAGCCACTGAAAAAAAATCATTGATTTTGGTGTTTTCATATGCCGAATTTATCCAATTATAGCTATCCCATTCCTTTATTTTTTTGGTTTCCAATAGCCTTACACATTTGGATGTCCCTACACATGGTAAAACAGACCTTGATGGGAAAACAAATTGATTGTGCCGATAAACAAGCTTGAAAATATTTGCTGTTACTTCATGGACGTTTTCTAGGAGTTTATGTTTTTCAAAATACAAGGTCTTTAACAAAAAATAACGTATACTTATTGTCGTCGGATTAACACCAAATTTTCACAGCTTTAAGGTGACAATGAGAGGAACTTGAATGTGTCCAGACAAACTATTTCATCGATTATTTACCAACGAGTTGTGGTTTGAGTTGGGGGAAATGCGACTAAAACAGTAATTGAAATTCAGGACACTATTTTTTAAAACGCATCGCTTGAATAAAACTAACCAGACACATTCAATTTACCAGACTATTGAACAACTAGGAAAAGTGAAAAAAATACTTCTTATCGCCAGCATAAATGCGTAATTATTTTTTTTAAAGAAAAAGTAATTTTTCACCTTTGAATCGAGTAACGCGTCGTAGATTGCAGATACGGGCATGCAAAATACACTTGTGAAAAGCTTGAAGTCTGGCGATTCTAAAAATATATACTTTCCCGGGTCTATTTGTAGTCATTTAGTCACAATTAGAAGATGAAAGCAAGTATGCAAATAATAGTCCCGCTACCTCAATTAATAAGTAATTTTGCTAGAAGTAATATAATCAGAGTCGATATCCATTGTACCATTGACATTGTCAGTAGTGTCACGCTCGTACAATACAATGCTCGACTACACAATACAGGTAAAATGAACTGAAAACACAACAAGAGGAAGAATATGTTAATGACCCTCCTGGTCATTTGGGCATCTTCTTCCTTTTTAAGGTAAGGTCAAATTCTTTGAATTTAGAGGGAAATAAATTAAAGTGGAATAACTACACTAGGAATGGGAAGTGTATCAGTTGCAAAGGAGCAACTGAAGATTTATTTCATTTTACTTGTAAAGTTTTTACCAGGATCAAAAGATATTCTTTTTTTAATTTACGGGAAACTTGAAGTTTTACCAAATTTAAGTTTGACTGATGCGTTGGGCGCAATTCACTGAGCTTTAGATTCTCCGTACTTTTTAGTGATACGTTATGTACATTAAACAATACTCTTGGTTGTGAAATAACCATACTATTCAGGAAACTCTTCAAAACCTTGTCA